TCTCCGCCCAAACCATTGGCAACTCCACACTTCTCACAAACTACATGCTCCAAAACTTCACCTACACGGAGAACTTCAAGCCCGCCAATCTCTCCGCCGCAACCTCCATCATCAACACGCCCCTCAACAGCACCGACTCGCGCGTCTTCCTAGACCCGTACCTCTGCAGCGCGTTCACCGAGATCATCGTGGCAGAGTCAAGCCACCCGTATGTTCTCGGCGTGCGCGTGGAGGGGAACGGCAAGTTTGTGACGAGAATGGAGACCCTGGTTAGTGATGAAGGGGATTGGTTGTTCAATGCTACTGGTACGGCGTACTGGAATGCGATGCAGGATTGGTCGCCTGTTCCGCTTGCGGACCAGGATACCCGCGAGGTTATCAAGGCGGCTGGCGATGCGTACTTCAACCGCTTTGGCAATGTCAATGTCACCATTCCGTTTGGCACACCTTGCGCCAGGCTTGAAGGAGGTGCGTATACCGATACGAGTATGACGAATGGCGAGACCTGCTCTTTGGGTCTGCCGAGTACCGTGTATGTTCAGGATCGCCGGTATGTGGTTGATGTCGAGATGGGGAGTGTGAATATCTACGTGGGGTTTCCGGGATTGGACAGAGCCAGCGAGATACCGGCGCCAGATAGCCATACTTTCCGAGTTGAGAAGGGGAAGATTCGGTACGTCCACACTATTTCGACGTGCGAGAGTTTTGGGTGTGGATTGAATGGGACGTATATACCGATCGGCGGTGGAAAGAAAATGGCAAGAGGTATCGCTGCTCCGAGACTTCGGAGAACAAGACGCGCAATGTAGGAAAATGATGATACTTGTAGAATACGCTTTCTCGTAGCATGCGTCGCTTACTCTAATTTTCTATACTCGTACCTTCAGGTTCAACCCTGTGATACTCCACCGTCCCACAACCAATATACAACTTCCTAGAAACACCGCAGTGCCCGCGAAGATCTGCGCACTGAGATAACCTCCGCCATTACTTTGTATGAGCGCTCCTGCAATAGGTGGACCAATGAAAGTACCCAGCCCTACGATGGCAAGTCCCTGGCCATTCCTCGTGCCTACTTTACTCATGTCCTTTGTCAGCGTAGTCATCACAGCCGGGAAGATACCCTGGAAGCCAGAGACGAAGAAGCCATAGCACACCGCCCAAGCGTAAAGGCTAGGCTCGCTGTTGACTAGAGGCCAGAAGTAAAGTACAAAAGCGGAGACAAAGCAAAAGGGTATTAGGATATTGTAAGGCCCGGTATACTTGTCGGCGAAATAGGATGGTACGATACGACCAAGGACACCGACACCGTTCAGTACTAGCAGAATGTTGATGGAGGTTGCGTATGGTAGACCAAGGATGTCGATCGCGAACGACGAGATGTAGTAGAAGGCGAAGTACTGCCCAAGGGCAATGAGGAAAACTCCCATCAAGAATACACTATACGGCATTTCTCTGAACGCGCTGAGTTCGAGCACTGGGCCAGACTTCCTCGGAGGTAATCGTGGTTTCAACAGCGAGCTGTAACAGATTCCCACGGCCAGCATCATAAAAGCCATGACCCTGACAGTCCACGGGAAACCGATGCGGGGAACTAGCTGTCGTGCGATAGTTGGGTAGACAAGCCCGCCCGTCGCACTGCCGCTAGCCATGATCGCGAGTGCTACGCTCCGATTCTTCGCAAAGTATGTGCTGACAAGTCCCAGAACGGGCGCAAACTGCATCCCGTTCCCAACTCCGTTCATGACACCCTGCGCAAGGAAGATCTGCCAGTACTTCGTACATAGACTCGTCATGAACATGCCGAGACAGGAAACGAGCATGCCCGGTATCACGGACCAGTAGAAGTATCCCGCATCGAAAAGACGCCCGGTCAACATGCCCAGCGAAAAGTGACCCAGCATCTGGAAGCTTCCGATCCACGAGACGGCTGATGGTTCAAGGCCTAGGTCGAGCGTGTAATACTGTTGGAAAACGCCGAATGTCGCAATCATCCCCCACGTGTTGAAGATAACGAAGTGACCCATAAACGCCTGCACCCAAGCTTTCGTGCCGCCGTCCGGCGGTGGTCCAGGGTCGATGACGGATGCATTCGAACGAGCGGTAATGGTCTTAGCCAGTCCGATTACCGACTTCTTGGTGCGAGACGTATGAGTAGCGTGTGTCGGTATTCTTTCAATCTCCTCCTCTTCGTGCTGGGATGCTGGTATTGATGGAACCCTTATTGAGGCGTACGACGCGTCATGATGGCGTTCGTGATGGCGTTCGGTGTTCGCTTCTCCGAACTCCGATATGGTGGCTTTCTCCACATCGCGGTTGGCACTCATCTCAATGGATCGGAAGGGATATCGTCAGTTGCCTGAGATGATGAGGAAGACGAAAGGGTACAGCTTCCAAGAAGTGGTGTGGCTGGTGAGTGGACATTCGAAAGAAGCGCATCCTTCGGTGTTTTATCCGACGGTCAACCATCTTTTCGACCCATCGTCCCCACTCTCCGGCCGCGGAGGCTAGCTGAGATGCGATCCCATCTTGAGCTTGGTTGTTGGATCTGTATGCATGCTGCTCGCATGATGTCCAATTGCGAAGCTTTGCCTGATGATATGGGGAAAGCTTGTGGCTGCTTCCCCAAAATTTCGGCAATAACACCGCGCTGGTAAGCTTCACGCTAATCGGATTTGGCAGTCGTGTCGTCGATCTTCAATGCGCGCCCTACAGCTCCATCAACATTGCCACACGATACCGCAACCTACATCATAGTACTAGAGAAACTTAAATTCCGTGATCATTTCGTATGAATATACCCTTCAGAGCTAGATGAAGTTTGCTTGGGCGACCAGAACATGTAGTAACCTCAATCAGCCCTGCTTTCGCCACCATCCTCACCACCTGGCCATCTGCGTCGCAATGCCGCTACGAGGTGGAACGTGGCATATAACAGTACAAACATCTCTCTGTGAAGTGGGGAGAAGAGGTGCCTACAGTGGATGGCGTAAAGTTGGCATAGTTATCTTTTCCGTGCATCAGCAGGCATACCCAGGTATTTGACGGGAATAGGATGTTACATAACTGGCTGAAACCACGCATCAGTATGGAACATCACACAGTAATATGGCATGCAAGAGGATTATCATTCGAGTGTGACTTCTACTCCCCAAGAGAGACAAATGTGTTCAACATCGGTTTCTTGGACCACCGTCGATCAGACACAGACTCTTCCAAATCTGCCTCATCAGCACTTCTCTTCCTCCCTGAAGGCGGCGGCGTAACCACAGAAAGAGCTGTCCGATTTTCTGATACGAAGCGCACGATATCCTTCAGCGTCGGTTTGCCCTCTTTCCTACATCCCAACCACTTGATATTGACCAATGGAAGCCGTATACTCGAAAACAAGGCCGGAAGCTCCTTCGTCAAGTATTGGATCTGCTTCTCGTCAATTGTCTCATGCTTTAGCGCAAACCCCAGATGCAGAAAGCGTGCGTGGGACGATATGCTAGGTTTCTGCGTCGGACGCTCATTCTTTGGCTTGAGCCTCCTCAACTCAATGTGTCGGCTGCTGCCTGGGATTCGCCGGAATAGTCTCGGAGGTGAGTCAGGGCGTTCCTTTTCTATGCGCTCAACAAGCTCATGGGTGTCAAAGTAACTGCCATAGCCACCGGAACTCTTCACGGCTAACACCTTCAGCTGCCTGATGAGGCAACGAGTGAAAGAGTTCTCACCGGGCCCAGGGGTGGGCGCGCCCATACGTGAGGCGGCTATCATCTCGAATGTTCGACCGTGCTCGGAGACGTTGCGCATAAGATCGCCGGCGTAGCAGCAGTCCATGATAGTGAGGACGTTTGCTTTTACTTTCTCGATTAGTGTCCTCTCGGCGTCGTTCCAGATTGCTCGAAGGGTACTATCTTCCTCATCAGTCCTGGAGTCGCTGTTAGCTATATTCTGTGGATTTTGCTTTGGTATATGTACGGTGAGAGCTCGAGGACCTTGAGAGCTTGGTCATAAACACCATGACCGGCGTAGTACACTATAAGCAGATTGTTTGGATCATCGTTTTCGTACACCCAGTTTAATATTTCCATCTCAAGCTGGATTTGCGGACTCTTCTCTTCTAGTTGTAGCTCGGTCACTTCGTAATTGAAGACCTTTTTGAAGACATTAGTCAGGTCGTCGACCTAATGGGTGTAGAGTTAGTATTAAAATGCCAAGATAATCAGACCACAGATTCGTTTCATACCTCTTGCCGCACGTTCAGCTGATCTATCGCGTCTTGCCATTTGATCACCAAAACATGTACATTCCGGTATCCATCTGGCAGATCCAGATAGTTTGCGATTGATTTGTCCCAGCATTGTTGAAGTTTCGCTTCATGCTGATCATCTCGAGAAGAACGAATTTCTCCAGGGTTGAGGCTTAAAGGCGAAGGAAGGGTGCTAGTATCGTTCACCGATGATCTAGGTGACAGCGGGTTGGGTACGTCGCAACGACTTAGCGGTGCCATGATGCGAGAATAACTGGAGGTGCGAATGGTGATCAGGGTTGACTCCTGTTGACGAACGTGTTGCACGTTCGCATATCTAGCCTAGTCATACACATTTTGGGGGCCGCGAACCTGAGGCTGTGCTTGGTCATGGCCCCTATCATGCCTGTCAGCCACTGGATATATTGATTAGCCAGCATGCAGGTAATACTAGCCACACGATCACATGGAAGGTCCTCCACGCTCCAAAAGGCTAATGCTTCTCGGACTCCGCCTCGTAGAATGCCTAGCGTTATGCGATGATTGGCGGGGTCAGGATAGGCGAACGATCAGTAACAATAGGCAAACTGCTGCCTGCGAGAAAAGCAATGATAGCTCACCGGCACGCTGCACCTCGCCCACCATGTCGACAGTGAGCGGCTTTCAGCTGAAGATGTAGCGGGCGTTAAAAGCCTTGACTCAGCCTGATATGAAAGGCTGACAACGAGGCCCATTTCCCACTCTTCCAAGGTTTTTACTCGCAGTCATGACCGACGAAGGACGACAAACAACGCCGGAGGGGCATATCAATGACCAACAACAGGTATGGCCCTATCTACCAGTTCCTTGTGTGTTGCGCACTAACTATGGGCAGACGGAAAAGGTTGCGAGGGATCGTGCAGGGACAGAGAAAGGGTTGGGGGCTGAAGTAAGCGCCATGCACTCCCCTGTCGAGGGTAAGTCTAGACGCTGATTGGTCGCAGACCGTCGCAAAATACGTTCCCGGAAACAACATCCAGATCACAGAAACCATCAACAACAAGCTGAAGAGGAAGAAGCTTTATGTCGCGTTTAGCCAGAAGAACGCGAAAGGAAAGACAGAGTACCAACTTACTGAGACGAAGGACGATACCACGAAGCTCTACATGAACGGGAAGTGGTTTCCTCAGGCCGATGTCTACGTGATTAAATGAGACACCTGGACCAATCAGTATAACGAGGCTTGACCGGTCAAGATGCATATCAGTATTTAGTTCCCAGCTGAGGATGTCAACTATTCCTATCTGCTAGAGACGCCTCTCATATCTTCCATCGTCTGATAATTTCTTCATGTTCAGACCCCTTCCATCATGAGTCCTCCCCCCGCATCGCCGACGGAGAAGGAGTTCTCCAGCCCCTGTACACGGTACTCTAACGCATCTTCATCATCCACTTTTCGTTCCAGCACAACTCTAAACTCACTGCGACAAGTAGCGAACAGCTTCGGACTGTTGCTACCAAGAAAAAAGCCAGCAGATGTAGAACAGCAGGCGAAGCCTGAGTCTCCCCTTGGCGAGGACGAAGATGGTGAAAACGAAGATGGGCCTATCTTCTCACCCGGTGGGTCAGGGCCATATCCAACCAAAGTACGAACACTCGAAAAATGTCCGAACGGCTACGCACGACTTGCAGCCTACAATTCAAGTGAACAAAACTTCATGCTCTACCGCGGCTTCAGCAACGTCCACGCACGTCTCCTCTTAAGCCTCCAATGCAGCATTCAGATGCTCGAAGCCGAGCTAGACAACATTGACCGCTTCCACGACACCCTTCCCGAGGCCTACAAGAAGCGCCTGCGATCCTGGGATCTCGACGTCGCAGCCTGCAAACAAGAGAAAGAAGAAGCAAAGGAAGAAGGAGACGAAGACGAAACTCGGACGCGAGAAGACATTCTAGAGGAACTAAGAATCAAAGTGAACCAATACGACGAGCTACTGATCAAAGCAAGAGAGCTCGTCTCTTTCCAACGACCAACCGAACGTGATTACCGAAGCGTGAGGAACTGGTTCCACAATATTGCGCCCCTCGTAGACGAGGAGCAAGACTACATACTCTGGAAAGAGGATATCGTGACGCTCAGACATGGGAGGGAGTGGGCGGGTTTCGACGGTATGGTCGAAGCGATGTTGCATAAGATGGATGGCCCACTTGTTCAAGTGAGTATAATATATCTCAGGTCTCCGGGCTTTACTTACATCCCGTAGTGGCTCTTCCGGACCGAGGATCAGAGGCGTAAATCCACGGATGAGCGGAATTACTACTTTGCTCCTTCGAGGGTGTCGACGCTGGTCAATCTCTTCATTACTATTGCGCTTTTCTTGCTACTGGTAGCTCCGGTGCTGGCGATGTATCGTCTCTCGACTATCAAGACGACGGAATGCGTATTTGCGGCTATTGGTATTTTGATGGTTTTCACGCTGCTGTTTGCTGCAGCTATGTCGCTGCTCACAAAGGCGAAGAGGCATGAGTTGTTTGCCGCAGCCGCAGCGTATTGTGCCGTCTTGGTGGTTTTTGTTGGGTCGACTAACTTCAATTGATTTAGAAGATGCTAGAGCTACACTAGCAATTCAAAGGGCCAACATGCCTCAAATGCTTCGCGAGCCTAATCCTAACGTGCTTCAAACACCACCAGTTCAAGCCTTTGTATGCTCCTCAAACAACTTCTTCTGCTTCTCCCACTCCTTCTTAAGCTTCTTCACCCTGCCCTTACCCACATCAGCACCATCCTTATCCTTCGTCGGCAGACCATCCTCATCCCACGCACTGTACTCCTCAGTCCTAAACATATCCTTGGGGTTAATCTTGGCTTGTTCGGCAAGCTTAGCCTTCTTCTCCGCCTCCTCGCGTTCACGCTTGAGCTTAGCTTCGGCCTTTTGGCGAGCAATTTCCTCTTTCTGTGAACGAGCGGCTTGCAGCTCTGCGTCGACCGGTCGGACCATGGCGGGCGCGTTCTCGCGGTCTTCAAGGTAGATGCCGAGATCCCAAAGGTGCGTGTCGCGGAGCTGGTCGCACAGGTCAAGGTAGTCCTTTGCTGGTGCTTGCTTCTTTGCGAGGTCTTGTAGAGACTGTTGGAAGGTGGAAAGGACTTCGGCGTAAGGGACTGCTTCTATGTCTTGTTGCTTCGCGGGGTTATGCTGGGCGATGATGGAGTCTAGGTTCTCGTTGAGATCACCGGCGATGGCATGCTGCCTCACTTGGTCGCGTTCGCGTGAAACAGCGTATACGTGCTCTTTGGCGGCCGAAGGAATGTCAATGCCAGCCCAGCCGATGCCACCATCCCAGGGGTCGGCTGAACCGTCAAGACCGAATATCCGGACCATGCGAGTGATGTATCGAGCGACATCGAATGAGACATCATCAGACAGTCCAGCCTTGTCGGCTGAGTTGTATTCAGTGATGAGGCTGGAAATCGCACGCATAGTGGTCGGTGTGTCGAAAGAGTCGGCTAGCGCACTGATGTTACATTAGTAGAAGTTTCGATGCCTATCTTCTCGTGTCTTACCTGTGTACTTTCTCCTTCGCAGATTCGAGAGACTGTTTCACCTTCTCGTCTTCAGCACCGGTCGAACTGATGTTTGGATGTACTTCAAGATCCCGAACTTTGTAGAAGAAGTTGGTGACATAGCTCTCCCACGATGAACCCGACTTTCGCATGTCTGGGGTGATTTCGATGCCGTCATGCCAGCCTCCGAGAAGGAAGATGACGCGCAGACTCCGTGCATTCCAATCACCGCGACTCAGGGCTTCGCGGATTGTGGTGAAGTTCTTCAAGCTCTTTGACATCTTGGATCCCGATATGGACAGATGACCCATATGGAGGAAGTAGTTCACCCACTGCGCACCACCTTCCTTTTGCCAGTAGGCTTCTGACTGTGCTAGTTCGTTGTCGTGATGCGGGAAGCAGAGATCGATACCTCCACTGTGTATGTCCATCTGTTCGCCTAGAACGGCCGAAGCCATGACGGAGCACTCGATATGCCAACCTGGCCGACCCGGACCCCATGGGCTCTTCCATGCTGGTTCTCCCGGTTTCGATGACTTCCAGAGCGCGAAGTCAGAGTCGTTGCGCTTTTCCGAGGTCTTGACTGTTGACAGGGCACCTTCGCCATCTGCTTGCAGATTGGTGTCACCTCTGTTCCATGGCTCCAAGCGTGCGTAGTGGTTCCCCTTTCTCTTCTCGAAACTCTCAATATCGAAGTAAACAGATCCATCCGATGTGCTGTATGCCATGCCGTTCTTGATAATCTTGTCCACAAAAGCTACGATATCATCACCGTACTCAGTCACGCGAGTGACGACATCCGGATCGAGGACGTTGAGTGCTCGCATGTCTTCGTTGAAGCGCGCTTCGTACTTCTTGGTGAGTGTTGTGAAAACCGAGTGGTCGCTGGCATCAATAGTTGAACCATATAGTGAGTCGAGGTAAGGTAACAGTACGTCCTCAGCGCCAGCATAGAAAATCTCCACGTCCTCAGGGGTCGACTTCGATGGAGCCAGCAACGACGTGACTGCTGTGCTGGCCGTCCGGAGGTGCATTTTGATCTTCGCTTCCTTGTCGCCTGGTGGACCGACACCGTCGACGGACTTGCCCTGGATGACATTGGCATACTTCTCCGCAGAATCGCTGTTGAAGCTGCCGATGTTGACATCCTCATTGAGTAGAGGGAGGTTCTTCTTGACATATGCGTCGAAAGCTTTAATGGTGGTGTTGACAACTTCATCCGTTACAGTTGGGTTATCGGCCTTGAACTTGGCAAGAAGATATTGTTGGCGCCCGCGCAGGATGATCTTGTCGTCTACGTCTGTGATGTTCTGAACGAACTTCAGCCTGTAACCGTAGTAGTGGGCCAGGATTCTCCGCAGAATGTCGTTTGTGACGTAATTCCGAGCATGACCCAAGTGTGCATCGTCGTAGACGGTAGGACCGCAGCTGTACCACTTGACTTCTTTGCCTTCAGGGTCGATGGGTACGAAGTCATTTTTTGATCTCGTCAAAGAGTTCCAGACTTTCAATTTTGCTGGGCTTGAACCTTTGGGTTCCTTCCATGGAGGTTGGGTGCGCGCCGGTGTCGCCATGTTGGCTGCTAATCTTGGCGATATCTGACTCCGGTGTATCCAAGTGCAGTTGGTTTTCGAAAGTAGAAGTGGGGAAGGCGATTTGACGGTGCGGGACAAAGACCGGAAAGCAAGTACCATCAATGTGGCGGGAAACGGGAATGTAAGGAGTGACGGGGATCGGTGCTAGTAGTCAGGCCAGGTGTAAGTCCGGGAGCCGCTTACGGTGAGTCAGTAAGTGATGTTCTCGTCACGTTCTGTTGGTGGTCTATGGGTGAGCAATAAGAATCCCTGTCAGTGAGGGCTTGGCGTTCCCCTCCAATAGCGTCTTCGAAAGCTCCCCGCTGAATATCTTTTTGTTCTCTAGAGCTCCGAGTCGCGATCGCATCATCTCCACATCTTTGGTCTGTCGCGACTTCCTACACCCATGGCGACGACACCTTCCCCGTTCCTTGACCCGGGGACTTGCGCGACAGCAGATAATCTCGGTATATTGCAATTGCGCCGCGACCAACTTATTCCTGCCGTCTTGAGGCCCGAAGCCGATTCCGACTACCCTGAAGGCAAGGTCGAAAACACGCGATTCGGCTCTTTCCCACATAGTACACTTGTCGGCCAGCCCTGGGGTACGCAAATCCTTGCGTCGCTCGTTGACACCGGGTCGCGCGGAAAGAACAAGAAGCGCAAGAGAGACACCAAAGATGAAGGAGAGGGCACACCAGTCGCCGAGCCGGATACGGCGAAGAAGGACATCGTGAAGGCTGCCGCAGCGAGCAGTGGTTTTGCGCATCTCATACCACCTACACCAGAGATGTGGACGATATCGTTACCGCACCGCACCCAAGTCGTATACACGCCCGACTATAGTTACATCCTGCAGAGACTGCGCGCAAGGCCGGGCGACCACATAATCGAGGCCGGCGCAGGCAGCGGAAGCTTTACGCATGCATCGGTACGAGCCGTCTACAATGGCTACCCGGGGACACAAGCTACAGAGCCCGAGACAAACGGCGACGAGGAGAATGCAGTGGGCACATCCAAGAAGAGGAAGCGCAAGACACGGACTGGCGGCGTGTACAGCTTTGAATACCACCAACCGCGCGCAGAGCAGCTACAGCTCGAGATCAAGGATCATGGCCTGGATCCTCTAGTCACAGTGACACATCGCGACGTATACAACGACGGTTTCAATCTCGAAGATTCGACAGGCCCAGACGCCGACTGCGTATTCCTCGATCTGCCAGCGCCATGGCACGCCCTCAAGCACCTGACGCGCTCCCCTCCCTCCTCCGCCGCATTGAAGTCCGTCGCTTCAGATCCATCAACGCCAGACGAACCCACAACCGAAGCACCACCACCGAACACTTCCTCCTTGAAACCCTTCCGCAGCCCCCTCAATCCGCGCAACGCAGTCCGTATCTGCACGTTCTCGCCCTGCATCGAACAAGTTACAAAGACCGTCTCCGCCCTCCGCACACTCGGCTGGGTGGAAATAGACATGGTAGAGATTAACGCCAAGCGCCTCGATGTACGTCGCGAGCGCGTCGGTCTACAAGAGGAAGGTGTGCGTGGCGGCAACGCGCACCCCGCAAACGTCCAGGAAGCGGTACAACGACTCAGGGACGTGGAAGGCCGCGCGGCAGTGTTCCACAGCATGCAGCGCGAGAAGCAGGAAGAGGTCATGCGAAAGGCTGAGGCGCGGAAACGCGGGGAGAATGTGGGTGAGGGCGGGGAGGTGGGCAAGGGCAAGAAGAAGAAGATGGAAGGCGTGCCGCCGAGTAAACATGACAGGCTTGCTCAGTCGAAGAAGGACATGGAGAGTCGGACATTGTTCAAGGAGGGCAGGCTGGTGCATAGGACTGAGCCGGAGCTCAAGACGCATACCTCGTATCTTGTCTTCGCCGTACTACCACGGGAGTGGACCAAGGAAGACGAGGAGAAAGCGAAGAGGAAGTGGGGATGAAATTGGAGCATATGATATCAATGGAAGATACCCAGATTACGAAAACTATTCCTCAAAACAGGAGCTCTGTTCCTCATTTCTGGAAAAAGACATGTGGCTAAAACTAACGAAAACACCTTCGACTCTGCCATTTCCAAGCACCCACTATCCCCACACGGCATCCTTCGCCCTATGGCTACCACTCCTCCCTGGTGGTGTGCTGATGCTGTGCGTCCAAGCCTCGTTTCCGTCGATGAACAGCCTGTAGTTGACAAAGCTCTGCTCTCCGTGTTCAGGTGTGGTAACCTCCACAGCACCAAATTTGCTGTTACCGTCAGGAAGGTACTTGAGGCATACGTCCTCGTCATCTGTCTCTTTGTATGTTCTGAAGGGCAGGTAGAACATGCTCAGCGGGCTGGTGCTGAACTCATGTACCGTAGCGCTCGTAGGCCACTTGCCATCCTTCGGTGGTGGAAAAGACGTAGCGGCGAATTCGTGACGGTCACCGCTAAGGACTACGACGCCGATATCGTGCGCGGAAGAGAGGTCCCAGGCAGCTTCCAGGATACGTCTGCGCTCATACAGATGCCCGCCCCATGTGTCTTCCGACCCGAATTGCCAGTTCTTTGTGAAGGGTGTACCCGTGACAATGAACTTCCAGTGAACACCCGGAGGTGGTAGTTTATGTATCCAGTCCAGAAGATCGGAGAGCTGCTGGGCACCGAGCATGGTTTTCGTGGGGTCAGAAGCGTCTTTGCTCGCGGGGGTACGGTATCGTCGCGTGTCGAGGAGGAAGAACTCTGCTGGGCCTTGTGTGAAAGAGAAGTAAGTGACACCTTCGCGATGAGGAGGAGGGTTGGGCGCGGCGTTGTAGTGCGTGAAGGCGTCGTAGGCTGGGACTGCTACACCCGTCATGTTGCTGTTCCAGTCATTGTGAATCTCATGATCGTCAATGACGTGGATCCATGGCAGGTTCTCGCTCACTGCCGGCCATGATGGCGAAGAGTAGACCTGTCGGTACTCGCGTCTGTAGGTCTCTACATCGCTACCCTGACGATGTGGCACGTCGACGTAAATGAAGTCGCCGAGAAACAGCATGAAGTAGGGCTTAAGCTCTGGTAGCCAGCGCGCTAGGTGTTTCATGCCGGGGAATTCGAGAGGGTGCTGGAAGGGCGTGTACGGGACGCGAGGCTTGATGCAGCTCGAGTGCACGAAAGTGTATTTGTTGTCCTTAAGCATCGATATGCGCCCCGGTTTCGGCGCGGTCGTGAAGGTGCCTGATATGTTTCCCCGCGAAGTCTCGACGATGTACTCGTAAGGCAGATCGGGTCGCAGGTGTTCGATGTTCATGACGGTCGTGAAGTCGGTCTCGTTGGTGAGCCAATACTCGGGTTGGCTGGCGCGGTGGGTCTTGTGCATCCACGATCGTTCGGTTCCATCGATGGAGCGATAGAGGACCTTCACGTCAAAGGCGTACGGCTCTCGCACTAGGATCTTTGCGCTGTTTTCCGACACGTAGCCGACGCGTGCAAAGCTCGCATCGTGGCATTGGTGGAGTAACGGAGCGCGATAGACAACGTCTAAGGCCATGGCAATCAGAGCCATGTTGATGCCAAAGGTGATCCAGCTCCACATGGCTGATGAAGGGCTTGGGAGCCCAGTGAGCAGTGTACGCAGCACCTTGGGCTCTCTTTCTTCATATTGGACAGTCTCTTGGACGTCAAGCTCTTTCAGCGGCCCATCATCTGCACCGTCGATAAGCTGTACTTCTTCGCCGGAGTCATCACCGCGTCCACCAACAGTTTCCTTCACGATGATGTCAAGTTCATCGGATATGATCTTGTATTGCGCCGTGTCCTGGAAGCTGGTGAAGAAGGAGGGGATGTAGACGAGCGTGAGTGTGGTCGCAAGTGCAGGTACGATCGTTGTGGGTATCTGCAGAACGGTTAGCTACATGCATCAAGCAGTCATTCTCTCATGCATACCCATCGCAGAAAGATCCATATGCTCAGACGGAGTGTCAAAGAGCTAATGAGGGTAAGAACATCGCTCGCAGATGCCATGTTTGCTAAGCCACAAGCATCACTCGGCAGAGGTTTGACGGGGAGAGATGCGCGTCTCGAAGCTTGTGAAAGTGGAGCCGTCGTCACGCCAGACGCGAATTACCATGACGTCGTTGGCGCTAACGATGGAACAAGCTAGCGGTTCTGCGAACGCGTCTGTGAACGTGTGACTTTGCCATTCACTCACACCACGAACTACAGTCATCTACGATACAAGACCCATCGCGTTCTCAAACTTATCATCACGTAGATATTATGGATAGGCTTAACAGCAAAGAAGGATGCGTCTTACCTATCTGAGGATGCATGCCCGGGCTGAGTTAAGCGACATGCATCTTCAGCTCCTCTACCCGTCAGGCTGAGATACTGGCACATCCTCTTTCCCCGCTTTCCAGATCTCCGCCTCCGGCATACAACATGCGTCTTATCAACACAAGGACTCGGAAATTCCAAGAGTTCATAGGCGCATCGATCCCCCCATACGCAATTCTATCGCACACGTGGGGCAATGAGGAGGTGTCGTATAGGGACTACGTTGAAACCCGTGATGCCTCCATGAGAGGCTACAGGAAGATTGTCAAGACGTGTGAGATCGCGAAAGAAGCTGGTATTACGCACTGTTGGATCGATACCTGCTGCATTGACAAAAGCAGTAGCGCTGAGCTTACGGAAGCGATCAATTCCATGTATCGATGGTACAAAGATGCAAAAGTCTGTTACGTCCATCTGGAGGACTTTGCTTCCGCTGCAGCGATAAGTGTCGATTTACCGAAATGCCGCTGGTACGCCCAATTACTCCATCTACGCTTTGCGTACTGAGCATACTAGGTTCACGCGTGGTTGGACTCTCCAAGAACTGATTGCTCCACGCGACATTCAATTCTATAATGCCAGATGGAACTACATCGGTCTCAAAACGGATCTTGTCGATAATTTGTCGACCATCACTGGCATTGGCGTAGAGATCCTACTGCATAATCGGTCATTGGACTTGGTGTCAGTGGCAACAAGAATGTCTTGGGCGGCAAAGAGAAAGACCACGCGGACTGAAGATATAGCCTACTGCCTACTTGGAATCTTTGGCGTCAATCTCCCATTACTGTACGGCGAGGCTGAAAAGGCTTTCCAGCGACTTCAAGAGGAAATAATTCGTTCGAAAGCCGATCTCAGTATCTTTGCTTGGCAATGCGTGCGGCCTCCAGGGGTTGACAGATGGACGCTTACCGGTGTTCTCGCGCATTCGCCAAAAGACTTTGTCAATGGTCACATCGTGCAACGCATGTATGGGAGGGAAGCTCACGAGTTCTCCTTTACCAACGTCGGCATCAAAACGCGTCTGCGCAACCTTTGGGCTCAAGACTACGGCTGTGTTATGCAGTTGAACAGCTTTTCAATCGAAACGGGAAAGCACTTGGCGCTAAGACTGCGCAAAGTTGGTCCAGAAATGTACCTGAGAGAGGGACCGTATGATCTTCTAGAGTATGCTACTGGCGCCTTTCACGAGCGAAGATCTGTCGAACGATACCTCCTTACTGCCATACCGGCAATACCAAGATTCTCGGATTGGTTGGATCCATCGGTAAGGTTCCAACACGCAGAAAGGCTGTTAGATTTCATGCGAGAATTTCCCGTGCGCGTCAAGCTACCACCGGAAGTTCAGTTAGTCAAGATGTGGCCATCTGACCGATGGGATGAAGAAGATCGGCTGTTCTTTGTCTCTGGCGATTCTCGTTGGGATTCGTTCCAGTTGAACCTGCGCTACGAACTCATTTACGATGCCAAGTCCCCTGACGGGACTGTCACTGAAGCTACCACAACCTTTAGCTTTACTCTGTATGCGTTGGGATGGTCTCATATACAACTTGACGCTGTAGATCGTGCTTCATTCGGTCTCGTAGACTGTCTAGAATATGGACCGACTGTGGACAAGATTCATCGGTGGATTTTGGACGAGGAGCCGACCACAGCTTCCATATCCAAGTGGTTCGCGAAGGAAAAGATGCCGAGAAACCAACTGATACGCTACGATATACCTCAGTCCCCTCGTAGCCTGGTAATAAAGATTGAAAGCACGCTGGATAACGTTGTCACTTTGACAGCAGAGGAGATGCCTACTATCAATGCGCCAGAGCGCGTCACACAACAATGGCCTGAGTTCAGGGACTACTAGATCGATGTCACAAACCGCTCATGTACATATGTTACACAACCAACATCTCTTTCACCGTAGCCAACCCGACTCTACATCCGCTACTAAGTGTCCATACATGTTCGGCGCAAAGTCTCCTGTTCAGGCACCTCGGCGTCCTCGCATTGTATCTCCTCTTACCGCCGTCGAACCAAACAAATCAGAAATCTCCATCGCTCAAAGATCTTGTCAATTCTGGTTTAATACCAACGTAGACTGCAGAACACCTCCTCAATTCCTTGCTTCACAAGGGTGCAATCCTCAACTTTATGGTATTCGTAAATTTTATCTTCGACATAGAGATGGAAGTTGGCGACTGCACGAACAAAGAATCAATGAACACGTTCAGAGCACAGAGCACATGATTTGGCGGTTAGTGACGAGCTCACCAACACCCCGGGCCGCCGCATAGTCGGCCGAGGGTCTAACGAATGTGTTTTAAACCATGTACACGCACTTGAAGGTTTGATGCATGGTCTAGAGAATTAATTGCACTAGAGGATTGGACGTGATACACAGCGCTTCAATGAGAAGCCGGATTGGAGGGAACTCTGATCGAAAGCAGGAAAGTGGCAGAGAAGCGCAGTCAGACCAAAGCAATAGGAGAAATGACACGCCAGACGAAAGTGTCAGACCTTCAACGCAATGATAGTGGGGTCTTATTGCTGCGCTAAGCTTTTCGCTTTAACAGACAACTAAGATGTCGATTAAAGGATTCGTTCGATAGAACTGCGATGACCAAAATGACGACGATGGTTTTTTTGCTCTTCCCTTACCTGTTCGTCCGTCATCGTATCACCTAACTTCCCATCCACTTCCCGTCTCATCTCCACACGCATCCCTCGCGGCCGATCAAACAGCCCTCATACTCCTACGCAGCCACAACCACATTCACATGCACGCCATACTCCGTCCCTCCGCTATCACAATCACACGTTCCTGCATCTTCCTCCACAAGCTTATCTTCCTTCGTTCCCGTTTACCATGCGCCAAGTACCCTCTTTCCTTTTCCAGAAGATATGAGCGCATTCGCGGACCCTAACGTGTTTCACCTTGACGAAGGAACAATCATAACAAGACCACGACACGGAACGCGACGCGACATGAGACGGGACATGACGGCAAATGTCAACACAGTAATCAACCCACCCCGTTGTCGTCGTAGTCGTAGTCATGTCATCGTGGTCGTGAGATTAAGCCACATCCCGGCCACAACAACACCCAGGTACGCACGTGCCCCACGGAGAAATCTTACATTCGAAAGGAAGAAAGGCGGCAAGAAGGCGATCACAAGGGTGTCGTCGGAACGCGATTTTGTCTGGTAAGTTTGAGATGAACGGGTATCTGATCGGGGTCGGTGGTTTTCACGGCGAGAACAAGGGAAGGGAAGCGGCAGCGCCGAGTCAAGTCACGGGCTGAAGGGTCCTTTTTGTTCGTCAATTTCGGACGGCGGGTTATAGGCAGGGTTGCGTCGGATATTGAGATCGCCTGAGTGAGGCTGCTTTTTTTTTCTCTGTATCTCGTGTCTATCTGGTGGCAGGTGGGGTGCGTGGTGGGTGTGACCGTGTGATGGTGGAGTGGAGAAGGGATGGGCGGTGGGTGGAGTAAAACGGTCGTCGCGTCGGGGTGACAGAACGGTGTTTATTGCTACTTAGTCAGGGTAGCCGAGCATGGATGCTGAGAGTGAGTCGAGATAGTCATCTCATTGGCGGTATGATTGATGGAGCAACGGAGGGGAACGCATGGACTACACGTGTATTGTAGCAAAGGCAAAGCAAATTCCCATCATTGTTGCACTGCAGGTATACGCGGAGAGGGCGTTGTCAAGTCTTTTTCCTCCGGCTCTAGTAGCTACTCCGGAGTACTATCGTTTGCATACCCGAGTAAAAAGCATACAGAGTTCACACATCCAGCCGACACGTACGCTACACATGTCGGGTGTCTGTAAACTGTCGGTGTTAGCCGATAGGCTGCATGTTTCGTGGTCCAGTTAGTTTCCTTCTGTTCGCCTCGTTCGTCTTCCCTAACAGGGACAAAACAAGGGTACCTGTCCCCACATCAGTCACCCTGCGATAGCCAAGCCCAAAGAAACACAGCGCAAAAATTGGGTCTTTGGACGCCTTCGGTCCGCCGCAAAGCAGGGTGCTGGTGGGGACGGCGGAACTCAGTCGGTCCTGGGAATAATGCCTTTTTTTCCGAAGCCGAAGGTGTTGTAGGAAGAGGAAACTTGGATTTTGGAAAGTTGAGACCCAAGGTCCACTGTAGAGAGGGTCTGGCAACGTCATGTTGGACCGTGGTGTTGGGTTCGCGAAGGTTTGTTGATGCCTGGTTATGCTGGGAAAGTTTGTGGTTGGAAACCTGGTGGTTGGGCTGCGTGATGTGGCGTCATTGTGCATGCGCGCTGTCGATGTCGTTGTCGCAAGTTGATGGCGTGATACTCGGGAGTACCATGAACATGTACGTCACAAAGCAAAGGTGTTAGCCATGATTATGGGTTCTGGTGGAGCGATGTGACAGGCAAGGTGTTGTAAGCGAAGTAGATTCTATTCTTCTCGTCTCGCTAAGTGACGACGACTAATTGGGATATCATGACTGTTCGTTCCGAAACAAAACAAAGTCAGGCTGCAAGCTGAGCGACAAATTGTAAAATGACAAGAAAATATGCATGCTGGATGCGATGATAGCGACAGATGGATGTGTGGCGGCGAACACTTCGCGATTGCCAACGACTGAGTAGCTGGGAGGGTATCGTAACCTCTCGAGGACAAACAAGAACGGAGAGTAGAGGACAAGGAAATGCCATGTCGTGCGCCATGGGTACACCGGGTATTATGCGCTAAGGTTGCTTAAGTGCCAAGGCGGCGAGCAGGGAAGAAGGTAGTGGCTGGTAGAGTAACATGTACAAGGTAGTCGCATGCTGGGGTGGTTCGTCTATGCATTTATGCGAGCGTTTCGAAACAGATTGAGTTCTTGATGCGTTCATAGGGAATCCATGAAATCCATTAGTGACTTGCGTCGTCGGATTGCGCGGCTCTTGATGCTGGATGTCGCATCATCGGTCTCGCTGCCAGGAAATTCTGGTATGACGAGTGTAGGCTCACGCTCGTTGGCGCCCCGGGCGGTCATCCTGCCCATGGAGGTGCCCATGGTGGTGGAACGCTTTTGCTGCATAGTGCTGAGTTGCGGGACCGGAGGTGCGTTCTCGGGTGTTGGTGCCCGCTTGGACTCGCTGCCGCGAGACTTGGGTCGGAGGATGGTAGATGCGCGGCGGAGCTTGTTTGGGCTGGAGAAGTTGTCTGAGCCTTGAATGGGTGCAGTCATGGGAGTCATGGGCGCTGGTGTCAGTGGTGTGGTGGGTCCTCCTGGGGCTCTGCCGTTGATGCGAGAGTCGTATGGCTTCTTCGCTGGCGAGATGGCAATCTTGGCCAGAGAGAGCTTCATGGAGATCGAGCGTAACCGTCGGTGCGCGGCGGGCTTCTTGATGATGGGCGATGCCGCGCTCTTGTTCTGGTTCTCGTAGGGGTCGGAGCTGAGGAAGGATAGAGCGGGGGACTGGGGAGTCAGCGGGGCGAATTGTGATTGCCTATGCGATTGGTATGATGATTGTGACGTCTGTATCCGTGACAGGTCAAGACGGGACTTTGTGGCAACGTATACTGAGGAACGAGCGGAGGTGGAGGGTCGGCGAGGTGGCTCGCTCGGTGCAGGCGAGTAGCTGCGACTTGAGCCGGTCTGGAACGACGATGTGAAGGAAGCGGAGTCGGGGTATGTGCTAGGCTTCTGGGTGATGGGGCTGTGGCTGGTGGAGGGTCGTCGGGGCTCTGGGTCGGCGACAGGCGATGTGGAGCGAGAAAAAGGTGGTGAAGCCAGGCGGCTTGTGGGCATGACCTTCATAGACAGGCGCTGTGCCTCGTCGGCCTTGCGTAGCTTGCTGGCTGTGGTAATTGGGAGCAGGTTCGCGACTGAGGCCGAGCGCGGCTGCACCGTTGGGCGATCGACAGGTGAGCGGCAGTCGACCTCAACGACCTTGGGACGACCTGCATTCGCGTAGGAAACTAGCACGGCCATGTCGCAGCTCTTTCCCTTGTCCCATCTCGACACAGACATCGTCCTCGCCTTGCACTCCTGTGAGAGGTCGTGGACTACCACGTCATCGTAGTCATATTCTGATTCCGAGGCGGAACCGTCGTCGGCAGTGAGGTCTTCTTCGCTGGAGAGGTATCGCTCCTGGAAAACTCTGCCTTCCTTCTTGGTGGAGGGACTCGAGGTTGGTGCAGCGGCGGAGTCTATGCGCAGGGTGTCGGGAGCATCGTCGCACAGGTTGGGGCTCGAGGCGGCACTGTCAGTACTGGAGCGCTGTGGGCGGGCGACAACTTCAGGCTTGGCGAAAGTCCACTGCTTCAATTGCGAAGTCACAGCAACGTCGACCATGATTGCAGAGGGAGAATGGAATTGCACCGGCGTGGCGGGTCAAGTGGGTGATATATCGGACTGGCTATCGGACTGAGCGGCAGCCGGGACGAGTTGAAACCAAGGCGTGCAGGTGCTACGCGCCAATGGTCGGAGACGTGTGCGTGGCTTGGGAGCACCAGGCAAGCCGGCGCTGAGTGAGACTGGGTGTTGCACGGGGTGTTGTGTTGGAGCGTGAGATGTCAGAGGGTCAGGTGTAGGCACTGAGGGGCACTCCAGGGCAGTATGTAGGCGTGGTGTGCAGTAGGGTGGGTTGAGAAAGACCGACGCTATATTACGCACATTGGCGAGGGCTGTATATATTGCAGCACTTTCCAAGGCTGCCCACCCCTGGCAGGCGTCGAGGTTTCAAGTACAACCGAGGAGCGAGGGAACCCAAGAGTCAGTTCACCGTGTCGGTGCGCCATTCATCATCTCACGCTGGGCTAGCACAGGCACGCTGCACTGACGCTTGGGGGCTGCATGGCGCAACTCTGCACTGGACTAGCAGATGCGCTCAGGAACCTGATGTG